AAAAAAAAAAAGAGTCAACATGGGAAGTGAATTCACATTAGTTTATTGGCTCTTAGTTTTCTCACGTAGAAAATAGTAACATGACTTAGCCATCAGGGGTGTTGTAGGAACTAAATGAGTCAATACATGTCTAATGCCTAGCAAAGTTTTTGGCACATAGTAGGCCCTTGGTAAATAATTTCCAAAAGAAATAGTGGCATTTGTCTCATCCCTGGTGACAGAAACTAGGACTCATCTATTTGTCCAATATATTCTCAGAACATGTTAGGAATTCAATTATTCTTATAGAAGCAGAAGACAGAGTAAAAAGTGAAGAGAAGGACATAAGAAGGAGAAAGTGGGAGTTGGGATGAGAATGAACAGCATTGTGGGAACCCATTTACTCGGAGAATGCCTGAATCGCCACAGTTGTTTCTGAAGTCCAGGAGGATGAAAGCATGCAGGTCAAGCCTTCACTAAGCCAGATGCCCATGGAGCAGCCAGGAGGTCCGGGGAGTTGCCATGGCAACCAGACCTGGCAGAAACTTCACAGTCGGACTCAAACCAAGGTAACTTCCTAAGAGTTCCTTGCTCAGGGAGGTGAGCATAGCGTTTAGCTCTGAGTAAGGATTGTAGACAGTCATGAGGTGGAAACTATCTCTCCCATAATACTCACCCCCTCCCCAAGCAGGCTCCTTACTGCACTGCTGTTGTAAGATGCAGAGACAGAAAAGGGAACCTCCACTTGCTGAGCGATTGCTATGATCCAGGCACTGTGCCTAGCACTTATCCTTCTCTCCATCCCTCCATTCATTTACCAATTCAGCTGATTTTTATTGAACATCCTGTCTCTTGAGGCACACTGGTCTGGGCATGGGGAAAATACTACTAAACAAAACAGCCAAAGAACTTGAAGCTTACATGTTAGTGGCAAAGAATTACCTCATTGAATCCTCTCAGCAAAATGTCTCCATCATTTCCATTTTACAGAGGACAGAAGTATGGAGCAATTAAATGACTTGTGTAAGGATCACCCAATTTTGTATGTTACAGAGACTGGGTGAGAACTAGTCCTGTTCCAGCCTTTCCCCTGTATCACTACAACTTCCCACTTCATCATGGAATAAG